CGCGGCTGGGCGCCCCGTGCCGCCGCCCGCGTCCAGCCGAAGAGGGTCGGCGCCCCTGGTGTGGGTGCAGTGCGGGATGCGGGCAAAACTTTTTCTGTGACACTGCCTGTGCCAGACGCGGTTCTCTACCTGTAGGGCCTCAGGGTTTTGTAATTGAAGCGAGAGGCGTTACTTTTAAAGTTTCCCAACCCTCCACCTCCGGTTAGAGAATGAGGAAGTAAACGACTGGTGGAAACTTTCTCTGTCAGATAGATGACCGGTGTTTGTAGATTGGCCAAGGAAAGCCTTAAGCAGATACCTGGACGTGCAAAGTCGCAGATAAACCTATTTTCTTAAGTTAAAGTTGTGTTTCTTTTTAAGAAAAGACAAGAGAATTGACAATATCGAAATTCAGAAATTCATCTCCAAAAAAGCGGATCTGCTTTTTGCACTTACCTGGAAGTCAGATGCCCCTGCAGCTTCTGAAGTTAATGAAGACAGTGAAGGTGAATTTAGTCTTTAAATCTATTATTGATTGTGGTTCAGTTTAACAGTACTTCACATAAAAGGAAGCTAGCTTGAACCTACTGATAGTGATTCTGTTATTTTTTTTCAGATCATTATGCAATCATGCCACCGTTAGAACAGTTCATGGAGATACCTAGTGTGGACCGGAGAGAGCTGTTTTTCCGAGATATTGAGCGTGGGGATATAGTGATTGGAAGAATTAGTTCCATTCGAGAATTTGGTTTTTTCATGGTACTGATTTGTTTAGGAAGTGGCATCATGAGAGATTTATCCCACTTAGAAATCACAGTAAGTTACTTAGTTCTTGGATTGCTTCTGTTTTTGATAGTCTTTACAGTCAGTAATTCTTTCTTTGCATCTAGTTGTACTTCAGTATACCAAGATACTTTGGGAAATTAAGTAATTATTAAATGGAGAAAAATAAGGTAGTTTTTAAAAATAGTGATTATTGAAGAGATGCATACAGTTTCTTCCTCCATTTGAAAGGAACGATTTTTTGGATTCTTTGGCAGAGGCGAAGTTTTGTTTTGGTTTTTTTTTTTTTTTAAAGAATGATTTATTTATGAGACCAGCAATTGGCATAATGGCTATGTCACTGGACTCCCATGTAGTCAACTGCTGTACGAATCTCGGACCCAGTGGCTTAAACTCACGCCGGAGGCATGCACGCGCGTTCTCAAGATCCTGAAAGGAGAATGGAGGAGAAGGGATTGCAGTGTGGCCGACCCTCCTTGGGGGTGATTTCTCGCTTTCTGTCTCTCCTCTCTCTGTCTTTCTGGCACTCTATAGCAAAAACCTCTCTTTTAAAAAAAAAAAAAGATTTATTTATTTCATTGTATTTGTCATTATATTTTAATTTGAACAGAGAGAGACAGAGAAAGGGAAAATGAGAAACAAGCCACCAGGTCTGTGACTTGAACCCTGGTTGGCCATGTGGGAGTCCAAAACCGCAACTACCATGCCACCTGGCAGCCCCCAGTCTCCTAATTTAAATGCAAAAAGATAACACTAGAGATAGTGTCTTATCTTGTTGAACATATATTTAATTATTTAATATTTGGCTTTGCATACTTGCATGTGAGTAATTTAGAGGAAAATTCTTCTATATATTTACAATAATTAAATGTGAGTGATTTGTACATTATAAGGTACTCATCCTGAATTTGAAATGTGTCACTTTAAAAGACTTGATATTTGCTGTTTATCCAGGAAAAAAAGATTATTACAGACTGGATAACAGACATAAACTTTGGAGCATTCACTTTTCATTTTCAGTAGATTGCACTACTTGATCAATTTTATTTTGACAAGTACAGACTTTTAAAATTTGGTTCCTAAAAGTAATGGAAGTTTTCATGAGATTTAGTTTTTGAATTGAATTAGAAAATATTTCTTATTGTTTAGACATAAAAATTACTTGTAACTGAAGTCCTAATTTAAATGTAGAGTGTTGTTTTTTAATGTTCATGTCTGCCACCCGTTAGCCATTCTCAGCCATTAGCTGAGATCACAGAAGATATTCTCCTCACAAAAGAATGAAATACGTTGTTTTAAAATACTTCTCATTTCAGGCTCTTTGTCCATTAAGAGATGTGCCTTCTCACAGTAACCATGGGGATCCTTTATCATATTACCAAACTGGTGACATCATTCGAGGTGATCACTTTCATCATCATAAAAAAAAGTAACAGTTGTCCAATTTTTGCCTCTGTTAGTTTTGAAAATGTAGTCTAATGAGAATAGTATTTGGAAATTTGTTAATTTACATATTAATCAGCTTCTTTTTTTTTTTCAAGCTGGAATCAAAGATGTTGATAGATACCATGAAAAGCTTGCAGTATCACTTTATAGTTCATCTCTTCCACCACACCTATCTGGAATTAAATTAGGTATAATTAGCTCTGAAGAGCTACCTTTGTATTACAGGTAATTCATTTTATTTCAGTGAAATTTCTCTTATTGCAAAATGTGTTCGTTTTATTTTTATGATCCTTGAATTACTTCAGAACAGACTTATTAAAAAAACATAATGTCACATCACCTGTACAAAAATGTTATTAGTATTTAAGCCTCATGTTAATTTCTTTAATAGAATGGAGATGTGCTAATTAGTGATCCATAAATTTTTGTGTTTTGTGTGTGTACTTTTTTTTTAAAGGAGGAGTATTGAACTAAATAGCAATTCTTTGGAATCCTATGAAAATATCATGCAGAGTTCCTTGGGGTTTGTTAATCCAGGAGTAGTTGAATTCCTTCTTGAAAAACTAGGAATAGATGAATCTAACCCACCATCTTTAATGAGAGGCCTACAAAGGTATAGTAAATCAGTATTCTCTGAAGTGTAAAGGGAAATTGTGCTAAACTCAGAGGCTATAGAACTGAAGAACATATGTGACCATCCTAAGTCGAGCAGCAGGGAGAATAAACCAAGTGATCCCATCTTCTGGACTAGCCTTTTTTTTTTTTTTTTTAATCAGTAATTAGATGTATACCATGTAACAAATTAGAATGCAAAAATTGACGATATTTTATGTATATGATAAAGGAATACTGTTTCTTCATAATAATTTCTGACAGTTCAGTTTGCTGCGTGTTTAGTATATATCTCTCTCAGAAAGTGAACTGTAATTATTTAACAAGTGTTTATGGTTTAACTTTTATCGCCTTTAATAGCAAAAATTTCTCTGAAGATGATTTCGCTTCTGCATTAAGGAAAAAACAGTCTGCATCCTGGGCTTTAAAATGGTATGTGACTGTCTTTTAACAATTGTATTATGTAGTCTGAGACCATTCTTATTTCATTAGGACCAGAGTTTATAAATTAATTTAAATAATGTCTTTTTTACATTAGTTTTCTTTATAGGTTAAGTCATCTTACATTGTAACCTAACCTAACAGGCTTAAGTTTTATTTTCGTTTTTTTTTTTTTTTTTTTTTTTCAAAAAGACAGTATGTTGATATTTGGGATTTATAAATATTCATTATGAAAACATCCAAAAACAGGATGCTTTTTATTTCATTTTTTTTTATTTTTGGAGAGGTTTCTTTGCTATAGGGCAGTGCGCTTGCCAGACAGAGAGACAGAGATACAGAAAGCGAGAAATCACCCCCCAGGGGGAATGGCCACGCCGCAATCCCTTCTCCTTCATTCTCCTCTTGGGATCTTGGGCATGCATGCACACGCGCCCGGCGTGAGTTTTAAGCCACTGGGTCCGGAACTCGAACCGTGGCTGACCACATGGGAGTCCAGCGACATAGCTATTATGCTAACTGTTGGTCCCAAGATGCTTTTTAGGTATATTGAGTGTATTTTGAAAATTAAATATTTGACAAATTTAACGACATTTTCCTTTAAAACTATTTCACGTTAACATTTTATTTACATATTCTGTAAAATGTAATGCTTTTTAAAATTTTTTTTTAGTGTGAAGATTGGAGTTGATTATTTTAAGGTTGGACGACACGTGGATGCTATGAATGAATACAATAAAGCTCTGGAAATAGACAAACAAAATGTAGAAGCTTTGGTAGCTCGTGGAGCACTGTAAGTGAATTGTGAATTTGAAGGAATGTTTACATGGTAAATTGAACAAGGCTTATGACTAACTTACCAGATAAACTCCTTTGTTTTTGTTTCATGTCTCTAGATATGCAACGAAAGGAAGTCTGAACAAAGCAATAGAAGATTTTGAACTTGCTTTAGAAAACTGTCCAACTCACAGGAATGCAAGAAAATACCTCTGCCAGACACTTGTAGAAAGAGGAGGGCAGTAAGTGTCAGATTTTGCTTAATAGCAGAGATAATATTCATTCAGCCAACTGTATAAAATTTTAAACTTAATGTAAAGACATAGCATCTTTAACTCAGTTCATGACACACTGTTTTAAATTTGGTTGAAATTACTTTTTAAATATAATCCTCCTTTTTTAAATTTTCTACTTCCTTTTCCTATCTTTACTGAGGGTCTTTATGATTAGAGATACTTCAGTATCTATATTCTCATTACATAGAAATCTGAGTAGAATAGTATAAAAGGTTAAGTAAGGATTCTTTTTCTGGACATATACTAGAAATTTTTAATAGTGAGGAATTTAACTTCTAAGACATTTAGTCATTTTAGTAGTATACTGTCAGCAATACAAATTGAATGTTCTGTAGTTAATTATGAATAAGATTTTGCTGTATTTCTTATTGTTCCACTCTGTCCAGTAAAATCTACAAATTTAAATTAAATGGGAGAACAAATGATTAAAAACCTAACTTATGTACTACCCTGAAATGCTGACAATGCCTGATGTCGTAGGTGTATCAAAAATACTTCATGCCTGGGACCAGCAGTTAGCGTAATGGCTATGTCGCTAGACTCCCATGTAGTCGACCGCGGTTCGCGTCCTGGATCCAGTGGCTTAAAACTTACAAGGGGCACGTGTGCGTGCGTGCCCAAGATCCTGAGAGGAGAACGGAGGAAAAGGGATTGTGGCGTGGCCATCCCCCTTGCAGGGGGATTTCTCGCTTTCTGTCTCTCTGTCTCTGTCTGGTGAGCATACGCACCCTATAGCAAGAACCTCTCCAAAAAAAAAAAAAAAACTTCATGATTAACAGACCAGTCTAATTTATAAAATATTTTGAAGAAATACAGTGCTTAAGTATAAATAATTCGGTAATAGCCTGCTTTAATAATCAAAAGCCAGTTTATACTTAGTAGCATTTTTTTGTTATTAATTCTTCAAAAATAGATTTTTTGTGTGTGTTTTGTAAGTTTTCTTAATCATTCTTATTTGATCGTTCCAATTTTAATAATTCTAAATTCATAAGATTTTGCAATACTTGTTTTCAACTACTTATTTGTAATTAGTCACTAGAGCCGCTTTTTACTTTCATCCTAGATAGCTAGTAGCTGTTAGAGGTTGTTGTCTTACTACTACCCACATATGGGTGTCTTTTAATTGAATGAATGGTAACACCCCCCTGCTATCGCAGACAGAAATGTTGGTTCTCTGATTTGTCCCTTACTGCTGTCCTCCTGGTGGCACAAAAGGGATCTCATTGTACTTTACAATAATTACTTTCTCCTTTTTTTTTTTGGAGAGGTTTTTGCTATAGGGTGCGTGCACTCGCCAGAAAGACAGAGAGAGACAGAGAGACAGAAAGCAAGAAATCACCCCCTAGGGGGATGGCCACGCCGCAATCCCTCTCTTCTCCTCCATTCTCCTCTCAGGACCTTGGGCACCCACGCACAAGCACCCAATGTGAGTTTAAGCCACCAGGTTCAGGACTCGAACCACAGTCGACTACATGGGAGTAGTTAGCCATTACGCTAACTGCTGGTCCCTTTACTTTCTCCTTTTAAGAACTAAAAGCATTTGCACAGTCTTGTCACCACTTTGTATCCAAACTTTCAAATTTTAATTTTTCACAGTGCAGACTTGTGAGCTCTATATAATTATTATCCTACTACAAGCTGGTTATGATATTTATGTTTGCACTGGTATTTCCAAAAACTTAAGCAGTACATTTTCTGGGGAAAACTTTCTGTAGAAAGGGAAGTTTTTCATAAATAGCAAAGAGTAAAATTAGCCTATATAATTCTGTTCATAAACCCAAGATGATAGTAAATTTGCAGACATCAGTTTATCACTTACAAAGATGTGTGAACACTGGGTATATATAATAATATGGCTTTAGTTACTAATAATGGGTTTGTGTTTTACATATTCTCTTTATCAACTAAATTACAGTAAAAAAGCACATGATTTAGCTATCATTTCATTTGGAAGTATTTTCTCTAGTAAGTTCTCTCATGTAAGGCTGACTGGTGTGTGTATTTGGGTACTTTCATTGTTTTAATTTTTTTAAAGCTATATCTTCCTTTCAAATTTAGGTTAGAAGAAGAAGAAAAGTTCTTAAATGCTGAAAGTTACTATAAGAAAGCTTTAACTTTGGATGAGACGTTCAAAGATGCAGAGGATGCTTTGCATAAACTTCATAAATATATGCAGGTGATTCTTTATTTCCTCTTAGAAATTTAGTGATATTTAAAATTAATGGCAGGATTTAATGTCCTTCTGGGGTAAATTATGTTAGATTAAGTTAGGCATTATAAAAAGGTTTCATTTTTTTTTAGGTACAGCTTTTTCTATTTGAGTATGACATTGCCTCATAGTGTTGCTGCTTTATTTGTTTGTACTCTATAAAGTAAAAATAGCCCTATGAGAAAATTCTATTTCCTAATTTGGTATGTGGTTTTTTAGAACTCTTTGAAGTGAGCTTACCTGGGGGTTGTAACATTATCGGTGTTGCTACTGTAGTTATAAAAACCTTTTTGAGACATATTTTAAATAGTCTTTTCCTGTAATACTGATGATGATGTTTTCTCATGCATTTTCTTCTGAATTGGACCATTGCTGCTGTGTCTGTGACATCTGGTGCTGCTCATCCCCATCCACAAACTGGAAAATGATTTCTTATGTAATCATGCTTCCAACTGGCCTGTGCTATTTTTAAAATGGTTTGTATTTGAACATGGTGGTTCCCTCCTCAATTTACTTTAATGGAATGTCTTTAATTTGCATCCTGCTTAAATTTTTCAATGTTTTTAAAACAACTTTTTACATATTTTATTTTTACCTTTCTTGCACTGTGGTCATGGGTACCACTGTAATGGCTTCCCCTTTTTCATGGGATACCGACTGCAATATGGTCCTCAATACTGTTCTGGCTATTTCAATAACTGATGACAAACATCTGTATGATTAATTTTTTTGTTAAAAACTTGTTTAATGATGGCTATATGGTGATTTCATTATACTAAATTGGGTTTCTGGTTGGGGTGGTCTACTAAATACTGGGTTTTTTATATTCTGTTATTTTTAACATGTGGTTTTTTCCGATATCTGGGTTCTAAAAGAAATCTTTGGAATTAAGAGAAAAACAAGCTGAAAAGGAAGAAAAGCAGAAAACAAAGAAAATAGAAACAAGTGCAGAAAAGTTGCGTAAGCTCTTAAAAGAGGAGAAAAGGTAAACTATAATATTCGATATATTTTAACTTAAAGCATCTACTGAGTTGAATCCAAAGTGCCATATGGATGTAAAGTAAGTAAAATATATCAAAGTATTTCAGGCAATAATCTGTGCCTATTAAGAATTTCGAACAAGTATGTGTTCCACATTTTTTCAGTAAAAGATTAACCAGTGATATCTAAGGCTAGAATTCAGGGGGGTGGGGGGAATTAACTTTAGAATTCAAATATAAAGTAAGTTATTTTAATTATATGAGGGAGAAGTATTTTGGATATTTAGTAAGTTTAATAAGGGATGCTGTTAAACATCCCACAACACACAGTACAGACCTCAAACTTACCTGCAAAAAAGAATTATTTGACACAAAATGTCAGTAGTGCTGAGGTGGAGAAACCATGAAACTAGAAGTTGCAAAATAATAAAACTTCAGTTTTCTATTATATGTGTTTATGTATTACATTTTTTTGTTGTTTTCTAGAGAGGTTTTTGCCATAGGGTATGTGCGCTCACTAGAAAGAGACAGACAGAAAGCAAGAAACAAACACACATCTGAGGTGGGGGGTGACCATGCTGCAATTCCTTCTCCATTCTCCTCCTGAGATTTTGGGCACACACACACTTACCCCGCGTGAGTTTTAAGCTGCCAGGTCAGGAACTTGAACCACAGTTGACCATGTAGGAGTCCAGCAACATAAGGATTATACCATGTGCTGGTCCACATGTAGTCTTAAAATTTTTCAGATGGTGTTGAGAATGTTACTTTTGTTTCAAAAATGATGGATTTGTTTATAGTAACACTATATGTATAAGCATTTTTTTCCCCAAAAAAGTTAATTTGGTAGTAAAACTGGATCTTGGAGAAATAGATTATCAGTATATCATTTATCTGAGCCACAGCTTTTTCAAAATCTTTAAAGGAAACAAAATAGGACCAAAAATCTTTAATGGATAACTTAGTAACATTTTTATATTTAACAAATCTGATGAGTTAACTACACTTTTTTAGGTTAAAGAAGAAAAGAAGAAAATCAACTTCCTCAAGTGCTTCTTCTGCTGATGAATCCGTTTCTTCATCATCATCTTCCTCATCTGGTCACAAAAGGCATAGGAAACATAAGAGGAACCGTTCAGAGTCCTCTCATGGTTCCAAAAGGCATTCATCTAGGGCATTCTCAAGTCAGATAGATCAGAATAGAAAAGAAGATTGCTACCCAATTCCAACTAACACTTCAGCATCTTTTCTTAACCAAAAACAAGAAGTGGAAAAACTACTGGAAAAGCAGGATAGGTTACAGTATCAAAAAACAGAGGTAAAAGAGAGAAATAGATGCTCTCTCTCTTCATCTTCAGTTGAAATACTGGACGATTTTGGAGGTAGGTCTGAAGATCCAGGAGATTTTTATAATAGCTGTAAAACCCAAGCAGGTAGTAGCAGTAGCAACACAGAAAAGCCATACAAATCAGAAAGAAACTTTTCTGGTAGAAGAAATTTCTCAGATTCCTTCTGTAGGAATTCAGAAGACAAGATAAAAATGTGTGGTTTTAAGAGATTTGAAAAGGATACAGATGGAAGAAAAGAGCACTATAGAAAGTCAGAGCCAGGTTCCATGAGGTATTCCAGTTCACCAGGAAGCTCAGACTACTCTTGGAAGTCAGTTGAAAAACACAGAAAATACACTTACCCTGGATCACGTGATTTCAGTAGACATGAGCAAAGATACCGATTAAATACCAATCAAGGAGAATATGAAAGAGAGGACAGTTATGGGAAGGATATTAAAACAGAGGCTCCAGAAGATGAACTAAATAGCAAAGAACAATCAGAAAGCAAAGTTAAAAAAAATTTACCTCAAAATTTACTCAATATATTTAATCAGATAGCAGCATTTGAGAAAGAAAAGGGAAATAAGCCCAAAAATTAAAATGCCAAGGAGATCAGCACCATTACACTAAGTGCTGTTAGTAAGTTTTTTGTATTTTAGTCAACAGTCCAGTGCAGAAATCTCTGCTCCTAAAATTATTTGTAGAGGTTACAGAAACCAAATGCTTTTCAGCTTCTCTCAAATTTTGTTACAGTTTAGATCCCCTTGTCAGTTTGATTTGTAGGCTCTTCATATGTGTGGTTGAATACAGTCTATTTCTGACAGTTTAAACTCCATCTAAGGATAATTCTATGAAAGTATTATTTCTTCATTGTATTATGATGTATGAGATTTCCTGGTTCTGCCTTGCCTTACTGTTTGAGAGAAAATTAAATTCATACATTAAAACACTTGGCTGGTTTCATCAAAAATTATTTTATTCTCTTTTCTGTTCATAGCCATCAGCTTTTGAAAGATAACGTTTGAATTTTTCTTGGGTAATATTTTATTATCATTTAAATAGGTTTTTTTGCAACAGTTTAATTTTAAAATGGTAGGTCATCTGTCTTAATTTGTTCCTAAAGCCTGATAAATACATTGGGAATAATGTGTTTGAAATGTGAAAAGCTGGAGCCAGCAGGTAGCATGGTAGTTAGGGGCACTGGACTTCAAACATGGACAACTGTTCAAGTCTCAGACCTGGCGGCTTGCTTTCTCACTTTCCTTCTCTCTGTCTCTCATCAAATTAATAAAGTTAAATTATTTATATATGTATGTGTGTATATATATGTATGTATATGTATGTATGTGTATATATATATTGCAAAAAAGAATTATTTGACACAAAATGTCAGTAGTGCTGAGGTGGAGAAACCATGAAACTAGAAGTTGCAAAATAATAAAACTTCAGTTTTCTATTATATGTGTTTATGTATTACATTTTTTTGTTGTTTTCTAGAGAGGTTTTTGCCATAGGGTATGTGCGCTCACTAGAAAGAGACAGACAGAAAGCAAGAAACAAACACACACATCTGAGGTGGGGGGTGACCATGCTGCAATTCCTTCTCCATTCTCCTCCTGAGATTTTGGGCACACACACACTTACCCCGCGTGAGTTTTAAGCTGCCAGGTCAGGAACTTGAACCACAGTTGACCATGTAGGAGTCCAGCAACATAAGGATTATACCATGTGCTGGTCCACATGTAGTCTTAAAATTTTTCAGATGGTGTTGAGAATGTTACTTTTGTTTCAAAAATGATGGATTTGTTTATAGTAACACTATATGTATAAGCATTTTTTTCCCCAAAAAAGTTAATTTGGTAGTAAAACTGGATCTTGGAGAAATAGATTATCAGTATATCATTTATCTGAGCCACAGCTTTTTCAAAATCTTTAAAGGAAACAAAATAGGACCAAAAATCTTTAATGGATAACTTAGTAACATTTTTATATTTAACAAATCTGATGAGTTAACTACACTTTTTTAGGTTAAAGAAGAAAAGAAGAAAATCAACTTCCTCAAGTGCTTCTTCTGCTGATGAATCCGTTTCTTCATCATCATCTTCCTCATCTGGTCACAAAAGGCATAGGAAACATAAGAGGAACCGTTCAGAGTCCTCTCATGGTTCCAAAAGGCATTCATCTAGGGCATTCTCAAGTCAGATAGATCAGAATAGAAAAGAAGATTGCTACCCAATTCCAACTAACACTTCAGCATCTTTTCTTAACCAAAAACAAGAAGTGGAAAAACTACTGGAAAAGCAGGATAGGTTACAGTATCAAAAAACAGAGGTAAAAGAGAGAAATAGATGCTCTCTCTCTTCATCTTCAGTTGAAATACTGGACGATTTTGGAGGTAGGTCTGAAGATCCAGGAGATTTTTATAATAGCTGTAAAACCCAAGCAGGTAGTAGCAGTAGCAACACAGAAAAGCCATACAAATCAGAAAGAAACTTTTCTGGTAGAAGAAATTTCTCAGATTCCTTCTGTAGGAATTCAGAAGACAAGATAAAAATGTGTGGTTTTAAGAGATTTGAAAAGGATACAGATGGAAGAAAAGAGCACTATAGAAAGTCAGAGCCAGGTTCCATGAGGTATTCCAGTTCACCAGGAAGCTCAGACTACTCTTGGAAGTCAGTTGAAAAACACAGAAAATACACTTACCCTGGATCACGTGATTTCAGTAGACATGAGCAAAGATACCGATTAAATACCAATCAAGGAGAATATGAAAGAGAGGACAGTTATGGGAAGGATATTAAAACAGAGGCTCCAGAAGATGAACTAAATAGCAAAGAACAATCAGAAAGCAAAGTTAAAAAAAATTTACCTCAAAATTTACTCAATATATTTAATCAGATAGCAGCATTTGAGAAAGAAAAGGGAAATAAGCCCAAAAATTAAAATGCCAAGGAGATCAGCACCATTACACTAAGTGCTGTTAGTAAGTTTTTTGTATTTTAGTCAACAGTCCAGTGCAGAAATCTCTGCTCCTAAAATTATTTGTAGAGGTTACAGAAACCAAATGCTTTTCAGCTTCTCTCAAATTTTGTTACAGTTTAGATCCCCTTGTCAGTTTGATTTGTAGGCTCTTCATATGTGTGGTTGAATACAGTCTATTTCTGACAGTTTAAACTCCATCTAAGGATAATTCTATGAAAGTATTATTTCTTCATTGTATTATGATGTATGAGATTTCCTGGTTCTGCCTTGCCTTACTGTTTGAGAGAAAATTAAATTCATACATTAAAACACTTGGCTGGTTTCATCAAAAATTATTTTATTCTCTTTTCTGTTCATAGCCATCAGCTTTTGAAAGATAACGTTTGAATTTTTCTTGGGTAATATTTTATTATCATTTAAATAGGTTTTTTTGCAACAGTTTAATTTTAAAATGGTAGGTCATCTGTCTTAATTTGTTCCTAAAGCCTGATAAATACATTGGGAATAATGTGTTTGAAATGTGAAAAGCTGGAGCCAGCAGGTAGCATGGTAGTTAGGGGCACTGGACTTCAAACATGGACAACTGTTCAAGTCTCAGACCTGGCGGCTTGCTTTCTCACTTTCCTTCTCTCTGTCTCTCATCAAATTAATAAAGTTAAATTATTTATATATGTATGTGTGTATATATATGTATGTATATGTATGTATGTGTATATATATATCTAAAGGTAGCTTAATGGCTAACTACTCCCATGTAGTTGGCTGCAGTTTGAGTCCCAGACCCAGTGGCTTAAACTCATTCCGGGCACGTGTGCATGCATGCCCAAGAACCTGAGAGAAGAAAGGGGAAGGAATTGTGGCATGACCATCCCCCCTGAAGGGTGATTTCTTGCTTTCTGTCTCTGTCTCTGGTGAGCACACAGCCCTATAGCAAAAACCTTTCCAAAAAAAAAATATATATATATGAATAGATGATAGCCCCTATTACTTATTTCTCCATTATTTATCTTGTTAGCATTACAGCCATGAAATTTTTTAAGCCTAAAGACCCTGATCCAACTCTTTAGCCTGGTATAAGAGCGCCAGATCCTACATGGCCAACCACAATTTGAATCCTAGCCCCTGTGGCATGAAAAACATGCCAGACGTATGTAAGACTATATTCCATGAAAGAGTAGAACAGAATGGGGAAAAAAATCTCTAGAATTGGGAAATTTTCTTCCAGGATTTCATGGAATAGATTTTCCATGCTGTTATTAGTTTCTTCTCCTGGGATACCAATTCTGATGTTTGGGCATCTAATGGAGTCTAATATTTCTTGTATATTATCCTTGTGTTTTTTTGTTATTTTTCTTTTTGGTTTTTTCTAGGTCAGAGGTTCGTTCTTCATCAGAGATTCGATCTTCAGCATGGTCTAATCAACTTTTAATACTTTAAAGAGTTTTTGATTTCCTGTATTACAGACTTCATCTCTAATAGTTCACCTGATTCTTTCTGAGTGTCCATTTCTTCTTTCATATCCTGGAAGGACTTCCTAATCTCCTGTAGTTCATTGTCTCTTTTCTGTTCCAAGTCATTGAATTTGGTCACTGTGAATGTTCGAAATGCTTTGTCTCACATTTTGGTAACATCCCCCATATTTACGAGAGATGGAGGGGAGTTACCATTTTCCTTTGGTGGAGACATGTTTCCTTGTTTATTCAGACCTGAGGCTCTTCTACTTCTAGCCATTGGAAGATGTATCACTTTTAAATACCTCTTATGGGAACGTTTCTCCGACTAGGAGTAAGTGTGTTTCCCTTTTTCTGCGAATTGATGTTTGCCGAAGTCTCTCTTGTTTTTACCAATGTGGTCTCAAGAGGGCTACTCTCCTGAGGTGTCTAGGGGGTGGGGTCTTGGGCTAGGGGACCTGGAAGTGAGGTGGGGGTGGGCAGAGGTGTCCCTGCCTTGGTGTTCCTTGCTGGCTAGAGGCCTGTAGCTGGGTCTATCGCCTGCTGCAGGGGAAAGGACAGTCTTGGAAAAACAAAACAAAATTAATATGCCACGGAGATCAGCACCATTACACTAAGTGCTGTTATTAAAGTGGGTATTTTAGTCAACGGTACAATGCAGAAATCAGGATTTCTAGCAGAAAAACCATGGCAGAAATACATTATCTAATAGCAATATAAATTTAATAGCAGTGGTGGAAGAACACTAGAAAACCAGAAATCTGAAATTTCTTCCCAGAATACAAAATGAAACTTTTTGGTATCGCAAATGTTCAGTCAGGAAGGTATTAGGTACTAGGAGACTTCAAAAAGTTGATGAAAAAAATAGAATTACAGTATAAACTTTTTACTGCAAAAAAAGGTCATGTTTTTTTAAATAGTCTGGAGGGTGGTTTGCATTTGAATTTTTATTACTTCCCTTCCCTTCATGTGTTTCTGATGCCTCTCTCACTCAGTAAGTCATCAACTAGAGTCAAACAAGGAAGGGTCTTGGACTGTAAATGTCCTCCCCAAATTACGAAGTATAGTGTACTCAGATACAGATCAGCATCACAGATGTTGAGCTTACTCTTACAGTGTCTTGAATCTTTCAAACTGAAGATTCTAGAAGATATAAATGAGCTTTAGTACTGCTTATGATGACAGATGGATGTAGGTGGGTGGGTTAAATGGGTATCTACAAAGAGATATCCATTCAAAGAGAATGTAAAAGAGGAGACTTCTATTCCTTAACTTCTTTTGCAGTACTCGCCGAGAGTTAAAATACCTAGACATTAAGTACTGGGTATGTACTATTTGCGTGTCTTGCAAACTCCAATAATGAGAGATTAATGGGAAATGAGAAATTTGTTTTGCAGTACATTAAGGAAAAGAAACCCTGGTCATGGGCAGTATAAATAGGCTAATCATGCACTAGTCGTTTTTGCACCAAGAAACTCATCTTCAAAGAGTCCTTAGTTCTTTGTGTTAATAGTTCATATAGTATCATCCACTCATAGTCTTACATAGTGTTTTTAAAGAGTTAAAAACTACTACTCCACCTTTTTTTTTTAATTGCCAAAGGCTATACACTCAGCAGACATACACCCCAGTGGAAGACTGGTCATGTAGCAATCTATTCCTCTACACTTTCCTGGCACTTTTTTCAAGTATAGGGAGTTGAACTATGGTTGGCCATGTGGGATCTATCTCCCTATGCATAGTGCTTAACCTTTGGCCCTCCTCTTGAACTTTTAAAATCCCTAATACAGTTTATAATTTTAACCCATTTAAAAGTTAAGGATAGTACCTTTTCCTGCAGGCCACCTGAACTTAGAAATGCCATCTTTCCCAGGGCCTCTTTTCATGAGACATGCTAAGCTTAAGCAAGTACACAAACCAGTTTCCAAGCATCTATTCGGAAGCCCATTACAGCAAAAAATATTAGGGATTTACTTTGTGAAGAATCCTTGGGGAAATCCTCAACCATTTCTCAACATAAGTATGTCTATGTTTTGTAAAACTATGTCTCTGTTTCCATAAGTAAATGCAGCATGACTGCGGGATGTTAAGAAATCTGATTTTATGACAGAGGAGTTGATCTATCTCACCATTTAGCATTATTACAACAAATTATATAATGGATAAATGTAGACTTGTACACTGGCCTAAGAACCTAACCATAAGTACTGTGGTGATTCAAAGAGAAGTTACTAGTTACAGTGTAGTTACTCTGTCAACCCTGTGCATTTTGTTTATATTATCAGATTATTTTAATAAACTTATGTTAGTAAGAAATACCATATATTACAATGAGAAAAAGCTCAGAAAAATAATTGCCCAGAATTACAGAGTAAGACACAACACCTGCCTTCATGGAACACAATGTTTATTTCAAATTCCAAGTAATTTACAAACTAATTCACGGCTGAGAATAAAAATTTTGGTATTCAAAGTGACAATGAAATATAACATTTTTTAGCTCTATCTTACAATCTCATGAACTTGAGTAGTAGGTTAGCCCCAAAATGACATGATCTACCTTTTTTGTTGTTGTTTAACCCCTCTTATGCACTGGACTTTGCTATATCTCTTCCTGTCCATTTCTAAATAAAAACAAATAAATAAATAAAAAAACACTTAATTACCTACCACTATTGTTTTTCAAAAGAAACTGCAAATGACTGTTTTGTAACAACGACAACTGTCGAAGGTTTTTACAAAATTTGAAGGAAATATGTATATGAATTCTGATACATTTATTTATAACAACATTCCACATTCTGTTATAAAAATCCAAAGTTTTAGCCACATGTTAAAGTATTAGCTGGAAAAACTAATTCTAAATATTGTGGACTATGTCCACTGTAAGTCCATGGAATCCCTATTTGACAAAGTCACATCTAGAATTTTTTACATTTATTTAAGTTAAAATTTCAAACAAAATTTTTTTTTATTCTTGCTTGGTTATAGCTTGAGAACAAAATCTTTAATGTTTGATTTCTTTCACGGTCGAGTGGAATAATTCTTAATTTAAGCTGCATTTTTTGATACACAGTATTTCTCTCTTATCAATTCTTTTCTTTAGTGGGGAGGGGATAATACCTCTTTTTTGTTGTTAAAAACTATACCAGAAGAAGAAACTGCCTTTAATGAATGTTTTTTTTTGAATAAAGAAAATATAACTTGGGGATCTTCTAGTATAAATGAAAGTCTTCACATTCTTATAAGCTCTTAATAAGGGCAATAAATCTTTGAAATTTCTTCCTGTTACAGTAGAAATGAGTTGCAGTTCCATGAAACTATGAAACATTTCTATCACTATATCAAGATTACAATGAGAAACACCATTTACCCTATGTTAGTATAACATGTAGCCTTTTTAAAAAATACTAGTATTTTCCTCCTGTATAAAGAAAAGAGTAGGAAAACTAAGGAAATTAAGCATTTACATCACTTCTCACTGGGTAATTTTTTTTCTGATCATTTGATATTTCTAACACCATTTTGATTGTCTTTATCATCATTATATAGCACCCAAAGGCATAGAGTAGGACTTACTGTTTTAAAATATGAGGTTTTTGTTTTTGTGTTTACAACTTTTTCAAAAGAAATTAAAATGTTTATTTGCTGCTTTTTTTGTTTTTACCATTACTGGAGCTACTACTAGAACTTGTTGGTCTAGTAATGCTGCCTGTTGGTGAGGAGGAGGCTGGGAAGTTGAGCTCTAACACTTTAATTGGAGTCTGAGAAGCCGAAGTATTTGTGGCACTCCTAGAAGACCTAGAAGAAAAACCGAAATTATTAATTCAATGCAGAATTTACACTTTATTATAGACTCCCTCATTATTGGCAAACAATACCATAATTCTTTAAGTAATTAAAGATACTAAAAAGTACATATTGATAGTGTTAAGTTTTAAAAGTATGACCACGGAGCCGCAGGAGGCATGGTGGTTAAGGCGCTGGATTCCCACAGGGCTGATCTCCCACATGGCCAACCACAGTTAAAGTTCGAACCTGGCAGCTTGTCTTCTCATTTTCTCTCTGGTGAATTAAAATAACAAAAATTTTAAAAATATGACTACTAATAGATATTTTAAAAATTAGTTTTAAAAAAAGGAAGAGTAGATGGTAGATTACATAGAGTTTCAAAACAATAAAAAATTAGTGTTTCTGGAGCCAGTCTGTACCATAGCAGTTAAACCCTGTGAATAAAGAACCAGATCCCACATATCTAGCTGACTTTGTTCTGAATTCCAGCCAAAGAAACACACCAGTGTTCACATATGTGCCCAGAATCCTGAGGGTTGGAGAGATGGAGGAAAGGGGATTGCAGCATGACCATGCCCCACTTGGGGGATGGAGAGGGAGGTGGTGTTTTCTCTCTCCCTCCCTCTCCATGTTCTCTGGCAAGCAATTGCACCCTTTAGCAATTAAAAAAAAAAATCATGTTTTTATATGAGAAAAACATTTTCAACCATGATTGAGTTCTTAGAGTGGGATCAGTAAGAATTGGAAGTTGGCAGTATAGTAACAAAAGAGCAACAGGATTCATTGATGGCAAGAGTATAAAATGATAGCTTATACAATTTAAGCTGAAGTGGAAAATGAGTAATAGGTGAGGTCATTTGAAAGACAGCCATACAATTCTGAAATAGTTTTTTAAAAATATATTTCATTGGGATCAGCAGATGACGTAATGGCTATGTCGCTGGACCCCCATGTAGTCAACCATGGTTTGAGTCCCAGACGCGGTGGCTTAAACTCACGCTGGGCGTGTGTGCCCAAGATCCCGAGAGGAGAATGGAGGAGAAGGGATTGCGGCGTGACCAAAAACCCCCCCCTGGGGAGTGATTTCTCGCTTTCTGTCTCTCTGTCTCTGTCTTTTAGGTGAGTGCATGTGCCCTACAGAAAAAAAAAAAAAAAACACTCTCCCCCCAAAAAAAATATAGATAGATAGATAGATAGATATATATATCCGATTAAGTACAAGAATGTTCAAGTAGCTACCTACTATGAATATATGTAGAAGCAGCTTTTTATACTTAAAAGCTTTTAGGACTTAGCTTTTTCTATGTGAAATCTCTACATGGATTAATGAAAAGTAGTAAGCAGCTGCTGAATATAGGATATTGGGAATTCTAAAATCAGGATCAACATTAATACATTTTATTTTGTCAGCAAAGCACAAGAGTTGTGATTAAGCATCTATGATATAAAATTTTAGATAACTGCAAATGGAAAAAAATAGTTTACTTTTTCGCAAATAAAGCATCACAAAATCCTTTATATATAGTATGTTTTTGTTTTTGTTTTTGTTTTGTTTGTTTGTTTGTTTTTTTGGGAGAGACTTTCACTGTAGGGCGCGTGCGCTCGCCAGACAGACAGAGAGAGACATAGAGACAGAAAGCGAGAAATCACCCCCCAGGGGGGATGGTCACGCCGCAATCCCTTACCCTCTATTCTCCTCTCGGGATCTTGGGCATGCACACACACGCGCCCGGCGTGAGTTTTAAGCCACCGGGTCCGGGACACGAACCGCGGTTGACTACGTGGGAGTCCAGCGACATAGCCATTACGCTAACTGCTGGTTCCCCTGAATATATAGTTTTAAAATGTTGTTTTAATCACACAAAAATATCCCAGGGGTTTTCAAAAATCCACAGAAAACACATGAAAAAAACTGCATTTCAACATGTTTTTTTACACTAAAATAAACAGATTAATTCCATTTTTCCATAAACTTTTTAAAATCCTCTTGTATATTTAGGTCCCTTTATGGTTTAAAAAATTTCCCCCTACTTAAGAGTTTACCCTTCCCAAGATACAACCCCCCAAATTACACCTTGCTTTATCCTACAGATATAGTTTGTAGTCACAAACCACTTGTGACACAAAAGAAATGGTGACAATAACAGAAGTCAGAAAAAAAGGTCTTGTCTGCTGGCTATGTCTAATTAGGTGACCATGACTGGGAGCGGGGCACTGGCAGTACACTGGCTAGTCCAATAGCTGTGGGGAGGAGGAAGTGGCTGGGTACACTGGGCAGCAGCTACAAGAGTTAAGGAGATTTTTCAACTTCCCACTTACCTAGCTGATAACAGTGAAGTCTGTGAAGGAGATCTAGAACTTGGATGACTTCCTTTAGTACTGGCTGTTGGTAATTCTAATCCATTCTAGGAGAATATTCAACAACAATTAATACTACTGCATTTGGGGAGAACAATATTTTAAATTTCATTTCACGATGAATGCTATAAAATTTATCTTCATGAAGTGTTATAAGGCACATACTTAATATAAGATACTAATATTTATTACCTGTTGAAAATATGTTTGAAGGATAATGCGGATCTCAGCATTTTCTTCTGTGACCTCAATGAACATGTCATCAATGACCTTGTGAAATTGTTTCACTTCACGAAGGTTGATGTCTTGTTCTTCTAGTGTTTCGTCTTTTGTGTCTTTCAAAATACGAATCTCCTTTGTGAGTTTTGTGCACTGTTGGTAAATAATAGTCAATTATTATATAAACCTATCTTACAAACTTACTATTTTTTAATGGATGGAGAAGGATTTTGGTTTATCACCTGGGAGTTCAAAAAATGTAAATATGACTGGTCAGCTTTTAAAAGATGTCAATACCTGTTTAGTTGCTCTTTCTAACTTTGGCTTCTGCTCCTCAGTTTCCTTATTTAGTTGAAATGAGTAAGCCTGTTTCTCTGATAATTTTTCTTTGACATTATTTGCTAAATGTTCTATGACTTGTAAAGTATTTTCCATGCTCTGCAGAAAATAAACATACTTATTGGTTTGTATCAAAAATTGACTTTCATAACTTGTCATTTTTTAAATATTCATTTACTTTGTTTTTATACATAATATACATTTTTCTATTGTTGGATAATAAGTATAATGGCCTTATTAAGTTTTGTAAATAATTCCACCAGAAAGTGTTTTTATGGTATTTGGGGAAAAATATAAACAAGGAATACTGAAATAATACAATTTTCAGAGATTTCACAATTCCTATCATCTGTTCCTTCAAATTTATTAGTAAAAAAAAAAAAAATTTATAGGGCCTGCTTACTAAGCATTTTTTAAAATCTTTTAATGATTCACTTTAGTAACTGCTTTCTACTTGATTATTTTATCTTTCAAAGCTTTTTGTTTTAAGGAACAATCTTAATGTGGTCTTTAAAGAACTAAATAAAATGTATTAAATAATGGCTATTGGATGGATCATAATTAGTTATGATCCATCAACCAATAACAAGAAATTATCAGTGCTTAGCACAGAGATTTTAATGAATTTACTTTACTTTGATCACTTGTTTTTCTCCTTTAAATGAGACATTATCTCTTACCATCTACTTCTCTAGAAAAGTCTCTGTTTTTGTGTAAGATCAAGAGAATTTAAAGTAGCAATAATGATAATTGATTTGTATTGAGGGCTTAAGACAAAAAGCCTGTAGAATTACCTGGATATCTTCCTGAAGCTCTCTGATTTGTCTTTGTTTGTACCTGTATTTTTCATCCACAGCTCTTTTTTGTTCTTCTAGTTGAATTTTTAGTTCATACTCATCACCTAGAATTTAGGGAATTTTTAGTTTTCAACATATTATATAGAAAGCAATCTTAAACTAAACTTGGAACACTTTCTGTTATGAAAGGGTAAGTTCCATATATCCACTTATGGAAAAACAATATGGCTATGTAGTAGCCATTTCTTGTTTGGTCAACATAGAACAATAATGCTGTGATTGTTTTTCAGAGCTGAAATTAATTCCCTAGAGAAGTGACTTATCATTTTAGTTTTTTGGCCCAATCAAACATGGTACACTTTTGTTCTCCATGTCTTGTAGTATTCCTCCTTTTAAAATATCAATAACTACAGTTTTCATTTTATATATTTATTTTTTAAAAATTTAAAACTCCTACTTACTGGATGGAGTCACTTTTTTAAAAGATTGTTTGTAATTGTTGTTGCAGTTATTCAGCACTTGCAAGGTATTTTCTAGAGCATAGATTTCTTTTTCAGCTTTGTTGATCTTAGCATCCAAACTGTCACCTTCCCTTTGAAGTTCTTCTTTTTCTTGAGCAGCCTATGAAGTACAGAAATGACTGGATAAATGTATTTATCATGGGAAATGACTGCCTTTTAGACACAAAATCATCCTAACAATATCAGTTTACCTTCAGGGCTACACATACACCAAGTATTTATTCCTTGTGCTTGATTCAGCATAGAACACCAAATCCACAGGTCTTCAAAATATGGTACATAAGATACGAAACCATGATGGAAATGCAGTAACTAACCAAAGCTTACACCAAACTCTGGAAAAAATTCCTAAAATAGGGACCAGCAGTTAGTGTAATGGCTATGTCGCTGGACTCCCATGTAGTCAACCGCAGTTCGAGTCTTGGACCCGGTGGTTTAAACTCATGCCGGGCACATGTACGAGCATGCCCGCCCAAGATCCCAAGAGGAGAATGGAGGAGAAGGGGTTGCGGCATGGCCATCCCCCGTGGGAGGTGATTTCTCACTTTCTGTCTCTCTGTCTCTCTCTCCTTCTGGTGAGTGCAAGTGCCCTATAGCGAAAACCTCTCAAAAAAAAAAAAAAAAATTCCTAAAAAAGCATTTAAAAAAATATATTTTTTTCTTCCTTATGATTTTAATAATTTTCTCTAGTTTACTTTTAAGATAAAATGTATAATACATATAACATATAGAATGTATTAATCAACTGTTATCAGTAGGTTTTCAGTCAACAGTAGGTTATTTGTTTTCAAGGTGTCAAAAGTTATATGTGGGTTTTGACTGCACGGGGTGTTGGCATCCCAACCCCTGCATTGTTCAAAGGTTTCCTACATATTATATAGTCTCCTGTGTAGAAGTGAATGGACTTTGAATTTCAAGAGTGGAATTAGATTATGAACTTGTATATGATAAAACAAATTTAACTCCTTCATTAAAAAAATGAAGAAACTGGACTCAGAAAAAGAAATATGTTATTTGATGTAGTCACACAATTCACTGGTAGCCAATAACTAAAATCTAGCTGCTTTGACATATTCCAGCACTTTTTACTGCATTATATATTTTTAAAAGATTTAATTTTATTTATTATTATTTTAAATTTGCTATAGGGCATATATGCTCACCAGAGACAGACAGACAGACAGAGGGAAAGTGAGAAAGCAAGCCCCCAGGTCCAGGACTCAAACCAGGGTATATTTCAAATGAGATGGTTACCAATTCTAGACACAATATAGTTTATCTAACAATTTATTTGTTGATAGCTTTTTAAAATTATGTAGTATTTATTACAGCAATGTCTGATTCATGTTTTAAAGCATTAAAAAAAAAAACCTGAAAATGTTAAGAACTGAAACACAATAAAACTTACCTTTCTCATTGACCACACTCTTAAATACAACTCTTGAGTTATTAAATTAAATGAATTAGTTGATTTCAAATGGGTTTTCTGGCACTTTTTAATATATACGTATGCTGTCTCTGTCACTGTTTAACCTGAGAAGTTCTTTGAAATTGTTTGGGTACAACTTTAGAAAAAGCCCTATGAGATGTAACCAGAGAGAGGCACTGAGTTTGTCCACTCACAGAGGAAGTTTTAGTCTTTGGTAATTTACAGATTTCATCTTTTCTATTTATATTTAGCATAATGATCTTTATTTTTTTCAACTATTTTTTAAATTGTGGTAAGTTATATACAGGAAAACATTACTTTCCTGAATATACCATGCTTTAAAAAAAAAAAAAAAAACTCCTTTCAAAGATTTGAAATGAGAAAGTGTTTCTGAAACTATTTCAGGCAAGAAACATTCTTTTGATTTAATAACTTATTATAAATTTTATAAATTTCTGCCCAATATTTCAAAGCATTTTCAAGTACCTTCAACTGACAATTTCATTAAATTATGGTCAGAACTAGGTTGTATCCTCATAAAAACTAAGAAACTTAAAGATTTGAAAAATGCCACTGTACAGTTTACTGATTATATTGTTTTGTCTGGCTCTTAACAGTCAATACAAGAGTCAATAGAAGGATAAATAAAATCATTTACACCCCATAGACTAAAGGATAAAAACAGGGAGGCTGTGGATTGAATTGTGCCCCTCCTAAAAAGATATGCTGAAGCCCTACTCCCCAGTACCTCAGATGTGGTTTTATTTGGAAATAAGGTATTGCAGATGTAGTCAAGTTAAAAATGAAGTTCATTATGATGGGCCCTAATCCTCTCATAAAAATGAGAAATTAAGAAACAGATTAGCACAGAGGGAAGACAATGTGAAGAGACCGGAAGATATCATGTGATGAATGTAGACAGCAGAGTGGTTAAGTTTACAAACCAAGAAAAGACAAACATTGCCAGCAAACCACCAGAAGCTAGGAGATATGCATAGAATATTCTTCACAGCCCCCAGAAACAGCCAACCCTGCCAACACCTTCACCTTGGACTTCTAGACTCATGAATTATGAGACAATAAATTGTTTAAGCCATATGATTTGTGATACTTAGTTATGTCAGCCCTGAGAAACTAATAGAAGGGGTCAGCAAACCTATTAAAGGACCAAGTAACAAATATTTTAACTTAATAGGCAGTCTGTGCCAAAACTACTCAACCTTGTCATTGTAGCATGAAAACGGCTTTATGCAGTATATAAATGAATGAGTTTAGGTATTATGTCTTCAATAATTATTCACAAAACAAGTGATAGGCAGCTGTTGACCAGGGTCCAGACTTAGTTGACCCCTGATCTATAAAACATGGAAAACAAAATAGTAGTTAGCACTGTCATCAAATTTCTCTGACCTGAGGCTTCAGACATATGTATCCTGCATTAGAAAATGTTCCTTTACAGACAAAGTAAGAAGGATAAGTAAAGGATCTTGAATAGAATAAGATGAATCCTAAATCTACAAAATTGAGAAACAGAATTTACCACATTGAAATACAGAATCACACTGAGAAACAAAAATTAACTTCCAACTGGCAAGTTTAAGTTTCTCCTAGCAATGAAACAGCTAGAGTATTATTTTAAAAAAAAAATTAAAGGGAAGCAGCAGTTAGAGTAATGGCTATGTCGCTGGACTCCCATGTAGTCGACCTCGGTTCGCATCCCGGACTCGGTGGCTTAAAACTCACGCTGGGTGCGTGTGCGTGTGTGCCCAAGATCTCGAGAGGAGAATGAAGAAGGGATTGCGGCGTGACCATCCCCCCTGGGGGGTGATTTCTCGCTTTCTGTCTCTGTGTCTCTCTCTGTCTGGCAAGCGCACGCACCCTATAGCGAAAACCTCTCAAAAAAAATTAATTAAAAAAATTAAAAATTCCATGCTTGCTTCAGTAGTACATATACTAAAACTAAAACAATACAGATAAGATTAGCATGTCCCCTGCTGCAAAGATGAATTGCAAATTTGTGAAGCATTCCATATTTTTCCATGAAGACCTTGTCCAAGGCACATCATAGTTAGATTGGCCAAAACCACAGACAAAGACAATATACTAAGACTGGCAAGAGAGTAACGTCAAGTCACTTACAAAAGTTATTCTATCAGGCTAACAACAGACCTCTCAACAGGTACAATGCAAGTAAAGAAAGAATGGGGAAATATATTCAAAGTGTTAAATGAAAAACAATTATAACCAAGAATACTATACCTGGCAAGATTATCTTTCATACGGAGAAAAAAAAGATAAAAATGTCCTTGGATAAACAAAAGACTTTACCAACTCCTGACCATCTCTTCAAGAAATTCTGAAGCCCAATTCCCCAGTCCTGGCAAGATGGAGGGCTTTCTCTTTCTCGTCCTCTTTCTCTTCCTCACCAGCAGCCCCCTGATCATGGTTCAGCCAGATCCTAGCCCTGGGGCAGACGCTGACAGATTGGTGCCGAAAAACCCCGGATCCAGACACCGGGACTTCTGGACTACTTGGCTTCTGGATGACCCTGGCGGCCCATCTCATACCTTTCTCGGCTACCTCCAGAGGTAAGTAAATGACTGGGCGGCCTCTCTGCCCCCAGCGACTTGGCTCGCGCTTTTCAATAGTCTATCACTATGTCTGTTTTCTCTCGTCTATAAATTCAGCTTTTAAATAGATTACTATGTAGTAAGGAGGCATGTTCCCTTTGTGTAGAGCGCTTCGGAGTAGACACAGACCTAAAATTTTGTGAGCAACGCCAGGCTATAGAAATTTTATGCTATTATTTGATACACAGTATTACTTTCTCCTCCCATGAAATATGCTGTTCTGGGCTGTACTGTAAAGATTTTGCCAAAGAATTGCTCTGTATCCTTGTTGTAGTTTTACATCAGCTGCCATTTTGCTGCCAGATTGGATAGCTCTACGGCGGCTATGTCAGTGCTTGATCCCAAAAGCAGCAGTTGAAATCTGTGATTTTTAGAGCTGAAAGCGAGCAAGATAGTATTTTTCAGGCAGTCGACACTAATTTCTTGCCCAAGAAGGGCTGTAGGTGCACACCCTCTACGGAGATTCTAGGAAATTAGTGTAACAGACTGTTTACTGCCTACGTGGCATTTCTTGAAAAGGGCCCAGTGAGGGCTACGGGACGCCTAGTGAGGGCTAAGTCGCCCAGAGAAGGGCTAAGGGTCACCCAGTGAGGGCTAATAATCGCCCAGAGAAGGGCTAATAGTCACCCAGAAAAGGGCTAATGATTGCCCAGTGAAGGGCTACAGGGCCGCTTTATCTCTACAGAGAACCCAGGAATCAATATGGGGAATAGGCTATCCCCAGCTCGCACTGTTCACAAGGAGGAGCTATTGTATTTGCTAAATCAGACTGATCACTCGGTGCAGTCCAAAGCCATTTCTCAGATGGTAGTAAAACTCAGTACCCGTTGTCCTTGGTATCTGGAGGCTGGATCACTGAAATTAACTGCTTGGGAAAAAATTGGTATCTGCTTACATGAAGAGCCACGTGCTCCCATAGAAATATTACATGCCTGGCGTCTGTACAGAAACACCATATTTCAATTTGGTAAACCTGATGACCTTGAGCCTCCTCTGAAAGAGGTCTTGGCAGCTGATGCAGAGATCAGAAATAATCCAACTGCCCTATGGGCTTCTCCTGCTCCCTCTCCCCCATCCAAGGCCTCATCTAAAAAACTGCCTAGAGAAAAATTGCCCAAGGGATGTTTGGAGGAATGTCTAAGCAGCGCTCTACAAGAAGGGGACACTTCCATGCTTTCTGTCTATCCTATTATACAAAAAAAGGGGACAAGCCACATATGAATGTTTTTTCTGGTTTTTTTTGTTTTTGTTTTTTTGAGAGGTTTTTGCTATAGGGCGCATGCGCTTGCCAGACAGAGAGAGAGAGAGAGAGAGAGAGAGACAGAAAGCAGGAAATCACCCCCCAGGGAGGGTGGCCACGCCACAATCCCTTCTCCTCCATTCTCCTTTCAGGATCTTGGGCACGCACGCACACGCGCCTGGTGTGAGTTTAAGCCACCGGGTCCGGGACTCGAACCGTGGTCGACTATGTGGGAGTCCAGCCACATAGCCATTATGCTAACTGCTGGTCCCTACATATGAATGTTTATCTTATAGTATACTTAAAGAATTTAGACAAGCTATCACCAAATATGGAACCAGCAATCATTACATTATAGGGATGATAGACAATATAGTCACAAGCTATGAACTCACAACCAATGACTGGAAAGTGTTTGTAAAAATGGTGGCCACTCCTGCCCAATATACGGTTTGGAAACAAAAGTTTGATGGCAGATGCCATCAAACGGTTACTGATAATGTAATAAGAAACCCAGAAGAGACTGCTGAAATGTTGTCAAGGACTGGCGATTATTCCACTAGTGAACAACAGTCCCAAAGGCCACCAGAAGTCTTCAGGAAAATAGCCACCATTGCTACTCTTGCATGGAAGAAAATACCTGACTCTTCTGGCCGATGCCTTTCTTTTGTTAAAGTGTGTCAAGGGCCACCAGGAGCCTATGACTTATTTATATACAGATTGCAAAGATCTTTGTACAGGCAAGTGGAGAATACAGATGCAGCTCAAGTACTGTTAAAACAACTGGCCTTTGAAAATGCTAATGTTGATTCTCAGGAGGTATTGAAAGGTATTTATGACAACCCCACCACCTCTTTAGCAGACATGATATGATACCTTTTCTAACTTTATGTGGGTGACAGCTGACACTTCTGAAAATTCTACAGCAGCAATTTAGTATGTTCTAGCCAGTATTTCTGTTATGGGCAAACTTAAATCATTGAAAACAGACAATGGCCCTGCTTATATTTCCAAAAAAATTTTGTGACTTCTGTACTGAGTAGGGTATTCAGCATGTTATAGGCATTCCATACAACCCCACCGGTCAAGCAATTGTTGAGCGTATGCACCAACGTGTAAAACAAACGCTCTCTACATTTTTAAAACAAGAAAAGGAGAAAATTTAGGGCTAGGGTCCCCCTCTGCTCATGCTGCAAAATTGCTTTCTTTAACCACGTTTAAATTGAATCATCTAAATCTGACTTTTGATGCAAAATCACATCTTTGGAGTAGAGCCTGGCAACGCATGTCATCTTCACAAAAGCTCCCCCAAGCTAAAGTTTTCTATAGGATGCTTCCAGATCCAACCTGGCTAGGCCTAGTTCCTCTAATAACCTGGGGAAAAGGGTATGCTTCTGTGCTTACTCCTACAGGTCCAGTCTGGATTCTGTCTCGGTGCGTATGACCTGCACACCATAAGCTGACATCAGATGCTGCAAAATCCGATAGTGAATTTCCAGCTGAACATACAGGAGAAAGAGAAGACCAAAAAAAGGAAGCGCAGTCCAGCCACGGCAAGTCCTAGCACTTGGCGTGACATCGAAGCATTAGCCAATGATGCTCAGGAAATGCTGAAGAGACAAGATAAAAAACCAACTCCTGAGAACTTGTTCATTGCTATGTGTGCCAGAGTCGCTAACTCAATGAACACTTGCCACCGGGATCTCATTTCTGCAAAAACAAAAAAATGTTAGCTATGCTATTAGCTTTGTTCAATTGTCTGTAGACAGGATTTTTACATGAATGACCTACACGTTTAATTATATTTTAGTTAATCTATCTCATAACAGTTTATACTGTCTTAGTTGCATAGCACCGATGCTGCCCTCTAAGAAAATGATGTTAACTAATTTTATACTATGCTACTTAATTGTTACAGTAGTTATCTAATGCCTGTGTGTATCTCTTGGTGCTGACCTCCCTCCTAACAACCCAGGCCATGTTGGCTTTAAAACAAAAAAGGGGGAAATATGGGGACACGTTTAAGAGAGAGAATTTGAGGTGTGGGGACATGCTCTGAGCAAACACCACCTGCTCTTTTGGGGTTTGGCAGAACCTTGTAACTTGTCTTTCCCTGACCTTGGCTGCAGACAGAGCAAGGGTGGAAATTACTAGGGGCTTTCCAACAGACACATCTGATGAACTTCAAGAAATATCTTGACCCCAGTTAGTAAAATCCAATCCCTGCTCTGCATCTGAAAGGTTCTTTAGCCTTCTCTGGGTGTGGTGGTGCACTCCTTATAGAGAAGTTCTTTAGCTCCTTCCCCACACTTAACAGCTAGTTCTCTGCATTATAAAAGATGAGACTTTCTCGATGGGCTGCTTATCACCAAGGGACACACCTGGCCCTGTATGACTAAGCCCTCATAGCTTTGTTAATTGCTTCTTATTGCCTGTAACCTGGAAACCAATCTATGAAGTATCATGAAACATACATGTGTAATGTCTCCTTGTACTATAAAGAGGCCCAGTTTGTCTGGGTGGCTCAAGCGGCTCAAGCAGCTCAAGCAGTAGCTCAGCTGCGGCACAAGTTGTTTGGGCTACCTAGGCTCAGGCTGCCTGTGTCCATTTCTACTCTATGTCTTTGTCTCATTCTTTCCAATTCCCGGGTCCTGGCAAGATGGAGGGCTTTCTCTTTCTCATCTTCTTTCTCTTCCTCACCAGCAGCCCCCGATCATGGTTCAGCCCGATCCAAGCCCTGGGATAGACACCCACAAGGGATTATTTTATTTTCTTTCTACCTTTGTGGTATGTGCTTAAAATTTTTTATAAAAAGAGTTAAAAAATGATAAATAGTCAAATGTCTCACTGAATAAAAAAGAGTCTTCAATAAAATGTGTACTTTAAGGGATAGACTTCCCATATCAAATTTCTGAGTAGAGTAGTCCATTTCAGTAGGTTAATTTAGGATAGTGGAAGAATAGAGTCTAATGATATTTTTGGCTCTCAGCTCATAACTCTTTAAAAAGTGAGAATTATATACATTTTATTCACTGAAAACTTCTCAGGGCTATTCTTCAGTGAGCAGAGACTTGGTAGTGCTGGCCTCTGTAACACTGCACTTCTCCATTTGAAGTGCTCTATTTTCCACAGTGCTATTTCTGGGTAAAGATAATTTGGTGACATAC